ATATGAAAGAAATGTGAAGAGAAGTAAATGCTTGTCTAAAAAAGTAAAAAACTGACCATCCTTAGCTTTCTAAGTTCTTTTCTAGCTATTCTTGCTCTCCAGAGACACTGTAAAACAAGCGTTGCTTTCTTCTGCTGTTTATAGGCCAGCACATCTTGGTGTCTTCGCCATTGAGTCTGAAAGAGAAATTGAAAATTGACCAATCAAGTTTGTTGGAAAGATTTCAATAAGTGAGTATTAGCAGATGCATTTGCTCATGCCTCACGGACTAAAATAAAGAAAGTAGCCCCCTATTTTTTCCATTTCAACCCTTCATTCCATATTATGAGTCGGATTGGATGGCAAATGCTGTACATGAAGTAGAAGGAGTTGGCACTCGTTGGTTTTAGCATCCACAAATTGCTTACTTATTGGACTCACATGACCTGTAGTGGAGTCCAGTTTGAAGCAGCAGCTTTTTTAAAAACTATTTGTGGCATAGTCTATTGTAATGAATCTTTAATTGTACAAGAGAAGTATGCTCCTAGAAGCAACACTAATCACATTTTTTTAAGAGCAACACATTCCGGATATTAACTTGTCCTTCAATATGAACTATCACTGTGATAACGTAGTTTTAATAATATATCTTATACCTGGACTATGGTTGCAGCCTTCGTTCTTTTTTTGTATCTGAATTCATTCTGGGCTGCTATTGCTCTTAAACCAGTTTGGATAACTATTGCTGAGACCTTTAAGTTTTTATATAATTTTCTTTCTTTGTAAGCTCGAACATTCTTCTGTATACGAATGGAAGCAGCCTCCCTTCTCATGTGTTCATACAAGTTACGTGCAAGTTGTCCTGTACAAGGAAGAGATAATACATAATCAAATGTTCAATTCACTTGGTCTCACTAAAAAGTACAAGGAAAAAAACAGAGCAATAGTTCGTCGTGCCTATTTAGAGCTAGGATTTGTTCCACATATCAGGTAGAACCTGCTACAGCTATAAAAAAGGGAAAAATAGAAACAGAACCTAACAGATTCTTATTCTAAAACATATTAGGAATTACTCAACTGGGAAAATGGGGAAGGAAGAAAGAGAGAAAAAAACAGAAAAACAAGAACTATTGGAACTTAAATAAAATAGTACTGGTTGCTATGTCCTTGGAAGGACAGGTCATTGACTGCGTCACCTGCTGACACCCCAAACTGCAATTCACTGAAGGTGGACTGGCTACTCCAGGTTGTGGGATTGACAAGTTCTTTTTTCAGGTCTTTTGTGTTATGATACCATATTGAATCAGTTTAGCAAAAAGAGCATAACCTCGCCAAATTTTTTGTGTATGAATTGTAGCTCTTCTCAGGGCAATGAACTCCTTTCTAGAAATATATGTTTGGATTTGCCTCTGAATGAGTTTTGCAGCATTGGCCAAAACTTCAGCTCTTCGTGCATCCAGCTCAGCCATCTGTCCAGCCCTAAGAAACACCTTTGTTTTCCCAATCTGGAAAAGAGCATTTAAGATGAAAGCTTACATTTTGATATTGAATGTTTTTGTGGGATGTTCTCCTGTAAGTAGGCCATTTTTCTTATTATATGTTAAATGCTAGCTAGAGTTATGTCTAAACATACCTGATAGCCTTTTAAATGCATTCTGTCACAGATTGCAACACATGCTGATTTTTCATCAGATCTGCCAAGAAAACCTTTCTTGTTATTCTTTAAGTCACCCATGAGGGTACAGGTGTGATGATGTTATATGCTCTTCATATATACATTTTCCAGTTGCTTATAGCCTGTAACTGTTAGTTAAGGAATCTTCTTAGGATGAGAAGATCCCCCCCTTAATACATTGGATTCGTAATCATCTTATCAAACAAACAATGAAACATAAAGGTAAAGGACAGTTTTATTTTGTTAGAAGTAATACCCGTCCAGGACATCAGGTGCTAGCATTCCAAAACGATCAAGGAACTCATCAAATGTTCTCTTTGTTGGATACCCAGCACAACTGATCCTAATTGCTTCTAGCACACCCTGCCGTGCATTATAGTTGGAATATTATTGATAGAGAAAGGGGAAGGCAATCCAAAGAGACAGTGGAAGACTTACCCCACATCTTAATTGATTTAAAACGTTGAAGTTCTCAAAGATTCCAGGCTTCAGAACTGTATTTGGCTTTACACATCTAATGTAATGAGGTTCTGTTGTGTTCAATGTCTCCATTAAAGCTTGTAATTGTTGCTGGATTTTGAATAAGATTCAGCAATAAGTCCAGGTTCTTTTATCCTCTGAATCTAATAAAATGCATCTAGGGTAAGGAAATACATCTACCTTGAAGCGAGTACCAATGGAAGAGAACTTGGATTGCTTTGATGTCTCCTCAGGGAGTGGTGGAAACAAATTAGCAATAAAAGGACACTTAGAGGCATCTAATAGAGCTTGATGTTCTGCTACAACATAATCCTTGTTCTTATCAAGAAATTGATCTGCTTGATATATAACCTGTTGTGAAACAACTAAATTTGAGACCAACAAGTGCATCTCCTCAACCAGGATCTTCAAGAAGTACAATTTTGCTTACATCTCCTGCATAGTGGTTGATTGTGAAGTCTGTTCGCGCTAATTTTGGCTTGCTGAAGCGTTTGTGTCCTTTATATGTATGATACATCTTTTGTGCAAATGTCTCATGGGTTGACCTAGGGAACATGCTGCAAGAGAAGTGAAGTCCTTTTATCTAGAGGTTTTCCTCATTCTTTTACTTCACTTCTGTCATTTTGTCTTGTTTTTTTCTTTCTTCTTTTTGGAAAAAAAGAAAGTGTGTAATTGCTTTTAATTCCTTTTATCTAGAATCGGCCACACTGTAGCTAAATGCTCTTTCTTGTTTTTGGGATAAGATGTTCATGATGTTTAAAGTAAGAAAAACCATACCAGGCTTCATCAAGCAGAGCAATTATACCCCCAGGTTTCTGCATATGGAAATGTTATCATTCTTCTCATCATACATTATAATAGTATAGAACTTGGACTTCCAATGGTTGTTTCAGGAGCTGATACCTTCTCAATAAGATCTAAAACGTCCTGATTATCAACAAATTCGACATAGCTCCAGTTGATTTCCTCCCTTGTATACTCTTCTTGTTCCATTTTAAATACATGCTGCACAGAAGTGCTTATATGTAAACAACTAGATTGGAACAAAAGAAGCAAACTATAACCTTTAGTCCTTACCTGGTTAAAATGCTGCTGCAACTTCTCATTTGTTAGATTGATGCATAGCTGCTCAAAGCTATTAAAAAGAAAAAAAAGAACTGTATTATTAGGCTTTCACTTTAAATGCCAACTAGTTCTCTGCTCGTCAAAGTATCTACCTATTAATCTTAAAAGTTTCAAACCCATAAATATCAAGGACCCCAATCAAGCTTGTGGCATTTGGATCTTGACCAATTGAGCTATTTATCTTATCAACAATCCTGCCAGATATCCATTTTCTCTGTAATCAGTCTATAGAGGTATAGTTAAATTATCTGAGGTCAAACTATTGGAAAATGCTCCAAATCTTAAGAGAGAACAACAAGCTTCATAAAAACCAAAACGTGGAGTTTATATATGTATATACCAATCAAACAGCCTAGAGTACACCGTCTTGGCTAATGCATCGCGACTAAGGGCTGCTAAATCTGGATCAAGTGGCTTTGTAATGTTACCATCTGGAGTCACTATGACTCGCTTGCAGAGTGAATCCTCCAGTGCCTTCTCATTACACCTGAATTAAAAGTAAATTGAGAGGCAATATCAGCTTAACATCAGACCAGTGAGGAAGTCCCAATTTTAGGCTCAAATTGGAAAAGAGCTCTAACATTAGGAGCTCTGCTGCCGTTTGAAGATGGTAGTGCGATTTATCATCTTTAAGCTTTGAGGAATCCGCTTCTTTATCTTTAATGAAATCAACGTTTCCAAGATGGAGAATTGCAGCTACCACACTGAATATAGCATCCTACACAAACAGCACTTATCCCTATTAGTTTTTAATGATGAGCAGCACTTGTCAGTTCATCTGGTATTTAGTCTTTTGAAATTAACATTCAGGTTACCTGCTCTTCTTGGCCGATCCCTACAATGTCCATAGCATTTCTGGTTTCCAGATACTCTCTTGCATCATCTACATTTGAGACTTCATAGCAGTTTGATTGATTTAGATAATGAAATGTTCTTGGGTCCCCTAATTTGAATTTCTTGACATCCTGAAACCAAACATTTTATCCATTATGGTCTTATAGCCAGTGTTTGAGTGACTTGCTGCTTCTTGGGACAATTATAAACAAGAGTGACCTCTGGTGGTGCTGCGCAAAGCATGTAGAAGCAGTGGTAATTTCTCTCCGGATCAGAAATTTGGCAAACCCGTGACCTTTCAAGAAGATAAGTGCGCACTGCAGCTCCAGAGATCTTCCCATGCTTATCAAATTGGATCTCAACAAATTTCCCAAACCGACTGTTTCATCCAAATAGTTCAACTTGGAATGAAGAATAAATTCTTTAAACCAAATAATAAAAAAAGAAAATCTGAATTGCTATTTTTCACCTTGAATTGTTATTTTTCACAGTTTTTGCATTCCCAAATGCTTCCAGGACAGGGTTCGACTGAAGACATGGAAACATGGATCTTCACTGAATCAAAATTGAATAATTTAATCTGCAAAATCTAGGGGAGACAGAGCTCACCTCAAGGACCTGCTGTTCTACTGTTCGTCCTTCTGTACCTGATCTGCCCCCCATGAACGCAAGATATCTCATGAGCATTTTAGTTGTCTCTGTTTTACCAGCACCACTTTCTCCACTTACCAAAATGGACTGGCTCCCCTGTTCATTTATCATTGCCCTGGTAGGGAATCTTGGGTTAACTCTGTTCTATTACAGATTAAGTATATACTTTTTTAATCCGCTTGGTTCAATTTAATTCTTATTCTTTTACTTTCAATTGTTAGCTATGCAAGTTTCATATCTAGTAATTTAATGGTAAATGATTATTACCTGTAACAAGTGTCTGCAATAGCAAATAGATGTGGACTTAGCTCCCCAAAAGCTGCTCCTTTATACTGTTCCATCATGTGGATGTCATACAAGTGTGGTAGTCTTCGGAAAGGGTTCACCGCTATTAGAATATTCCCAGTGTATGTCTGGTTTTTCAAGGATTATTTATCAGATTTATATTCTTCAATTTTCGGTATCAGATTTAACTATAGGACTTACATTATTAGCTTAAAGAATAAATAATTCTAATACTACCATATGTAGAACTTTTAAGTTGGAACCATATGGCTTACATATATCTCATTGAGCGCAAACCGGCAAGCAAGATTATGTAGGACTCCAGGCTCATGAAGGTACGCTAACTTGGTCATATCATCAACCCCTGCTGCTGGTGCCTCTGTGTCTTTTGGGTATATGCTGGAAACATCGGCAACTATCTGAAATTAAGGTTAAAAAACATGTTGAGTTATAATTGAAATATCTTTTAGATATGCCTGTGTTTCTAACTTGATGAACTCTTGATAGAGGCAGCATATAAATCTGAGGCATGCATTGGACTTAGTTCACAAATTCTAGAATGACAAATTAACTATCAACATATAAGTGCTTAAAACTTTATGTTACAGAACTCCATATATCTCCAAATTGACAAAAGTGAACCGTCTCGTTTCCCTTTTCCTTTGAAGCATTCACTTTTCAAATTAATGCTTTACCAAACATCCAACAGAAATATGCCAAACAGCTTGGTTGTAATAAACTTTACATGTGGAAAATTTTAAATGAGTTCCACAAATGAGCTTCATTTGTTCTAAACATGAAATCACAAGCCATTGTAAAGCTTGTAGCTTTCCTGCCTTTTTCTTAGCAACCGAAGTCTTCATCCTTCAGATCCAAAAGTTTCACATTAGTCTGGTTGATGGTAATTTTATAAGCAGCATAATAAAATGTTCTGGCAGGCAATAACGCAAATGTAAATTGAATCGCTATATGAAGTAAAAAATGTTTCAGTGAAGCTTTATGGGTTCCAAGATAAAAGAAAGAATGCAGAATCCAATACTACGAGAGACAATAATTGTTTACAGTTTTGCCGTCAGTGGTAACCAGGGTGGCCGCTGTGCCACTGATTTCTTTGACTTCACCATCAACCCACGCAAGCTCAGGATTCTCGGCCCAGACATGTGATCCAACTATGATGTTTACAGAAGTTCCCTAGATCAATATCCAGCCAATGAATTTCAGTACATCAATTATCTTGGAAGAAGAAAACCGAAGAAAGAAACCATGAAGAAGCTTACCATAACTTGAGTGCTATCTGATCATGAGTTTCTCGGAAAACAGAGAGAAATAAGAGTGACCTGAAAGCAGAGAGAGAATAGAAATTTTGGAGAACCTTAAAGCAGAAAAAGAATGTGGAAAAGCAGAGGAAATCAAAAGCAGCTACCCCTCACCTCCCGCCCCCACACCGTGTCAACCTTTTGCTCCTTTGACATAGGATGCTGACTTGGCTCCCGGGATTGATAAAACTTTTACCTGTATTGCTTAAGCCATACGTATAGATAATGGAAGGTCCTATGGCCGTGGAGAAAGTTATGGTGGACCCCAGGTAATTGTGTTGTGGGTCTCTCTTCCATGGAAATGGCATGCATGACCAAGCAGGGTGGGTTTTAGTAGCTTCATGTGGGAATTCGTGGTTGTCCGAAAAAAAAAAGAAGAAAGAGAAGTTTGCTGCTTTTGAATCGTCGTTAGCTTTTAGCTTCTTTGGTAGATGGGAGTAGTATATCAAAATGGGCCAGTTATTATGAGTTGTATATTATGATGACTGAACCATGTGATTGTTTATGAACAAACTCTGCCGAGGGACAACAAGCCTGGAACTATTCCTGCCAAAAGCAAGGGACTGCAGTACCCTGCCTATTATTTTATCTTGTTGCTGAATGAGATTACCTTTGGCAGTGCAGTGTCATCTGGAAGATTATATATACATATATATTATTATTATTTTTTTTTTTGCGTAAAGCCTGAGGCACGAAAGGAAGAGCATGGTGGCACTGAGCCAAACCGCTCAGGCCAAAAGCATAAGCATAGACTAGAGAAAGAGGGTTAAGAAGAGAGAAGAGAGGACAATTTGGAGATTCTGTGAAAAGTCATCATGTAAGTAGAAGTGGACCTAGCGACTTGCCAAACCCATCAAGTCCAGGTGGGTGGAGGCATTTTTTATTGTGATTTAGCTTTTAACCCTCTGATTTTCTTTGTTTATTTATTTTGTGGAGGGGGACGATGTGCCAGCAAATTTCTATTGGGACGTCAGGAGCAGGTGAAGGGATTTCGGCGGTTCACTCGATAGAGGCTTGTGGGGCACATGAGTATCGGGTCCTCCTTTTGCCTGCCTTTACAACTCTGTGCCGACTCTTCACTTTTCCCTTTTTTTTTCTTTAAAAAAAAAAAGAGTAATTTGTTCCTAAGGAAAAGGCCGAGAAAGGTATGTTCGGTGTTTATTTGTTAAGAAGCTAACTTTTTATCTTTAGGTAGGAGTAATTGCCCACTTAGAGCTTGGATGTAACAAGCTGGGCTACATATGCTGGTGTTATTTAATGGACCAACAAGGCTTTAATATTAACCACACTACAACGTGGTTCTAGTAAACCATTGGCCCCTTTGTTGATCTGGGATTCTAGCAGAAAAACAAAATAATAAACAAGAATTGAAAAAAAAAAACTCACAAGAATAGAGTAGTTATACAATAGAAACAGTAGTAGGCTTGCCAAGGAGGCCTACTTTATCCTTATGTGTACTTGACATTCTACTCTGAATATAAACCACTGAGTTGAATCTCTAACAATTTCTACCATTTGATTTAAACCCTTTAAAAGTTATTCATATCTAAATCACTTTTCTCTCTTTACTATTGGATTGCAAGAAAAGAAGTTTTTTTTCCTTGATGTTCCTTATTCACTTTTTTTTTCTTTCATTAACTCTTAACTATGAACGAATAACATCAAAGTAAATTGTAAATCGTTAATATTAAGTATCTCATAGATTTCTTTGTTACTTTCTTATTGATGAATATTTATATTACTCAAGAAACAATGTTGGCATTTTCATATTTGAAGTCTCAAGTCCACTTAAAAGGACTTACTTGCAACATTTAAGTGACTCATTAAACACAAAAAGCTCTCTCTCAAGCTTTCTCATGGCTGCGATCGAGCCATAAATGCTGCTCAACGTAAAGACCAGAGATTTGATTAGTCCTAAGCTCATTGAGATTGAGATGTGAATTTGGACAAACCCATCAAGGATGAGCATTGAAAGCCCCCGGCTCGGATGACCTCCAGTCAAGCTAAAGTGCTTGCCCACCGTTTCAAAGGAGTGATTGGGAAACTGGTTTAATCCAATCAAGCTAGCTTTGTCCCTAGGAATCACATTATTGGTAATATCATCACTGCCCAAGAAGCAATTCACTAAATGAGGGGCGAAAAATGATGAAAATGGTGCATGTCTATAAAAGTTAATCTTGAGAAAGCATATCACCATCTTAACTGGGATTCGATCGAGGATACCATAATTGAGGCTGGTTTTCCCCCTAGATGGGACCCATTACACCACATAACTCATCAAGACCCCCTTAATGCAAGTCCTTACTGGTGGCTATACCACGTAAAAGTTTACTCTCTCCCTACATCTTTGTTATGTGCGTAGGAGGACTTGAGCATCTTATACAAAGAGAACTTGCGGAGCACAATTGGGAGCCCATCATAATGGCAAATAAGGGCCCCCATCTCACCTTTTCTTGATATGTTATTGTTTCCTCTCAGAGATGTTGATATGTTGTGAAGCATGTGAAGGATAAGGAGACATAGTCCCAGAGCTCGAAAAATCACCACCACCATCTCTGTAGAGGCATACTAACAAGGTAGTCTTGGAGCCAGAGACCTAACACAGTGAGGATAGAAGAAACATCTTACTTGTGTTTGAGAGGAAAGGACCAACCGTACCGAGGGAACTGATCAAGAAAAATGACATCATAATGAAAATTGTTAATGGAAGAGACTGGTGAAGGTCCCCAAACACTAGAAAATATGAACTGCAAAGTGATAGATGAGGATATAGTTGAGATAGCGCTGGTAGTTTATGATTTTTGTTCTCATGGCTGCTGTATTTAACAGAGAAACTAAAAGCACTACATTATCAGAAACTAAGCTACAGAGAACAAAATCAGAGAGAAGGCTGAGAGGAGCGTGCCGGGGTGCTTGTGAAGATTTAATGGTCTTATTTGCTAGTGGCTTCACAAGTGGCCAGAGCTGAACGCCATCATGAGTTTTGCCACGCACCACTTCTACTCCCGAAGCAAGATCCTTAACAACATAAGAGGAAGGAAAGAACGCAACAGAGACAACATCATTTTGACATGATTAAGAAACAGAAATTAAGTTGTTGTTCATGTAGGGTTCATAATTAAGGTGCTTTAGAGCTCAGACACCATATAAAATTTCGAAGTATTTTCAATTTTTACCCCTTCCCATAAGTTAAAAGTATTTAAAGGTCACATCTAAAATATACGTCGACCTACCTTATGATGAATCAAGAAAATTCCCTCTCTTTTAACTCAACTATTTGGGGTGCACGACAAAGAAGGAAGAGAAAAGATGAAAAGATCGGTGCTTTATAGCGTGTTAAGGAACAAAGCACCAGGAAAGGCTTTTCTCTTTGGTTTGCTTTGTAAGGGTTGCTACAGATTTTGCTCCTCTAGCCGGCCGCAAGAGTTGGCAGCTCATCTCCCTTCAGTGCCTCTCGTCACAGCACCCTTTCTCTTCTCCACTTGATTCTTCCTTGCCCATAGTTCAACTCCAGAAAGGCACGCTCGGATCTAGCATCTTCCTGATGCTTTACTCGCTCTGCTGCTCGTACTTGGTTCATTAAATACACCAGAACGTCGACCCCACACCGTTTCTTCATTCACCATCTTTCTTTTCTTCGATTACCAAGGTTTCCTTCGATTCATCTTTGTTCTGCTTTCCAAAGATGCAGCCTTCCACCGATAAGGGGTTCAGGGAAAAACAGAAAACGACGTCATTTGGAAATGTTTGAGGGCTCTTGGCTGGGCTCTGCTACTTGCTTCTTAAGCGATAGACGATCCAAACAGGGTTTAGGCGTGGTTTGGGTCATTCGGTCTGCATTGGTTCCCTAAGGGGCTGAAGGTTTTTTTAGCCCACAGCTATTTCCTTTCCCTATTTTCTTTCTTTATATTTTTCAACATAATAATAATAATATAAACATCCCTGATAATAATGAGAATAGAAAGAATAATAACAACAGTAGAACATCAATTATAGATTTAGGCCAAAGAAACTAAGAAGTTTATCCAGCACATCTTGTTGGTGGAGTTAAAAGTGTAAGGGAAAACATTGTTAGGTACTTAAACCCTTCCTGTCCTGTCAATCATCATCCAGCAGTCTGTACATAGATGTTTTTGCGAGTGCTCAGCGATCATGTAGGCATGAATGATATTGGTTTTGACTGGAAGAAAGCAGGGGGATGCGTGGAGATAGATTAATTGTGACATTATTAGTTTTTTTTTTTTAAAAGGGGAAACTTTAGGGAATGGTGGGGCTCCTGGTGAAGAATATGATAGGTTGATGAATCGGGTATTATTGTGCCATGATATAATATCAAATTGGTTGGCACATCAATTTAAAAAGCCAAGTATATTTTATATATTCAAAGATGGCAATCTAATTTTCTCCTTGATAATGATTAAAAAGTTTGTCAGATTCTCTAAACAACTCATCACTCTGTAAATTTAAATTTCTTACCCGGCGCCGCCTTTATCGAGTTAACACACTTCTTTTATCCTATTTCCTGAATTGATCTGCATGTTTGGCTAACTACCATTTTCTATATGTTAAAAAGCAAAAAGAAGAAGAAGAAGGAAAAAATATTTTGTTAAAAAATTCAAAATCATATTTTAGTCGTTTCAAAAATTTTGCCACCATTTTTTGGTTCATGCACAATCTCAAGTTTGCAGAAAATCTTAAAGATCATGATGACTTTGTAGAGAGAGTTGGGCAGACAGTAGTTATTGGAATCACATTTTGTTTCTCTTCAAATTATTTCTTGTTCCATTTGGAGAAAATTAGATTACTTGTGTTCCAGTGGGATTATCCGAGTGTAATCTGGGTTTACAAAACTCTGATACGGACTTGGCTCCGTTGCTTCAGCAGACGTTATTTGCCAACGAATGGAATTTGAAGATGATGTTTACATGTTCAACTGCTAAATTTCGAGAAGAGGAGTGAAATTTTGGAAGATTGTCGGCTTGTTGAGGTGTGGGGTCTGACTTTTTTGGAAAAGAAGAAAACAGTTGTAACCTGTGAGGTTTGAAGAAAAGAGAGAATGTGGGTGAAAAGGGTTCACGTGGAGAATAATAACAAAGGAAAAATTCAGTCAATCAACCTCCCCATAGAAATCCCAAGTTTTCTGAAACTGAAAGCATTTCTGTTTCGCCACCAGCAATATAAATTACCCGCGTCAAATCTAATGTCTTCTACAATTCCCATTTTACGACGTAACGCTTTTTTCCCTTTTGTTTTTTCCTTCTGAGATAGATATGGAGGACAGGTGCGTCGGCAGTTCGATTGGATTTTTCCGCCAAAGATGATAGGCCCCTCTCTTCCTCCTCCTCTCTCTTCATTTTTTCGTGACTCTGTTTTAATAGGTTGCTGTTGTGGGTGCGCACGATAAGCAGAGACAAACACACAGAGTACAACTGTCACACATCCACCCCCACCTCCCCTCTCTCCCAAAAAAACCAAAACTTTATCTCTGTGATTCACAAAAGATACTCTTATCATTTCTCTCCTCCCCAACTTTTCTTTTCCTCTTGATCATGGCGGCGCATTCCTTGGGCTTCTTCTTTCTGCTTCTGCTGATACTAATATCCATGGTCATGAAAACTCCTGCTGCTGCTCACGGGGCCACTCGCCGCTCTTCTACCCAAAACCTGGATGTTCGCAAGCACTTGAAGCGCCTCAACAAGCCTGCCATTAAATCCATCAAGGTTTCAATAAATTTATACCTTCACCTGCACTTTTTGCTTTTCTCGTGTCTCCTACAAATATTACATGCGGAGAGTCCTTTTGGGTTTCCCCTTTTTCTATTCACCGTATAATTCTCCATGTTTAATTTTGTGTAAAACAGAGCCCGGATGGAGATATAATTGACTGCGTCCATGTCACCCACCAACCAGCTTTCGACCATCCTTTAATGAAAAACCACACGATCCAGGTCTACAAACTCTCTTTTTTCATTTTTCTTTCTTTTAATAATTTTAGCTTTCTCCACAGAGTGGACTGTGGGTCGATTCATGGTGATGTAGATGAGACCAGAATTTCATCCAGAAGGTCTTTTTAGTGGAAGCAAGGTTTCCTCAGGCTCAAACGCAAAGCAAAGGTCAAGACCCATTACCCAGATGTGGCACTCTCAAGGGAGATGCCCAGAGGGCACAGTTCCCATCAGAAGAACCAGAAAAGATGACTTGCTGAGAGCAAGCTCTCTTCAAAACTTTGGTAGGAAGAAGCGTCCAACCATTCCTCAGCCAAAGTCTGCAGATCCGGATTTCATCAGTCAAAGTGGCCATCAGGTACTAAATATATTTATATTTATATATGCTACTACTGTCCATGCAACTGTTATTGGTTCCTTTGTTATCACTGCTAGTGGAGGGAGAGCTTTTCTTGTTTTAGTTAATTAGTCTTATTGATATGTTGCTTTCTTCTTTTCCTCTCCTTGACTTGGAGTCTTCAGCACGCAATAGCTTATGTGGAAAGAGATAAGTACTACGGAGCTAAAGCCACTATGAACGTCTGGGAACCCAGAATCCAGCAGCCCAACGAATTCAGCTTGTCCCAAATCTGGATTCTGGGAGGTTCTTTCGGTGAAGACCTTAATAGCATTGAAGCTGGATGGCAGGTATTAATATCAACTTCACCAATATTTCTCCTCTCTCCTACTACTACTTTTCAAAGACTTCTCATTTGTTTCCACCTATATGATGATTTTGCTTCTCTCTCCATCTGGTTACAACAGGTTAGCCCAGATTTATATGGTGACAGCAACACTAGACTTTTCACTTACTGGACTGTAAGCTCCTTCGTCTGCTTCATTAATTCTCTCTCTGTTTCACTTTTAGTATTTCCTTGTCATGATATTGAATGAATTATATTCTGAAAAAATACAACAGGGCGATGCATACCAAGCCACAGGCTGCTACAATCTCCTCTGCTCAGGCTTCATTCAAATCAATAATGAAATTGCACTGGGTGCAAGCATTTACCCTCTTTCCAGATTCGATGCTGCCCAATATGATATCACCATACTCCTATGGAAGGTAACAACTTTGAGGGATCTCTTTCTGTAATTGGGCTATATACCCACAAGAACGAAAAAACTGATTAATTCTAAAATCGGTGATAATTGCGTAAATTAATTATTTGTTTCTAAATGGGTGATAATTTACGTATCTGTCCTGCCCTGTTAGGATCCAAAAGAGGGAAACTGGTGGATGCAGTTTGGGAATGACTATGTGCTGGGGTACTGGCCAGGCTTTCTCTTCTCGTACTTATCGGACAGTGCTTCAATGATTGAATGGGGAGGAGAAGTGGTGAACTCAGAAGCCGATGGGCAGCACACCTCCACCCAAATGGGAAGTGGACACTTTCCTCATGAAGGGTTTGGCAAAGCCAGTTACTTCAAAAGCATTCTCATTGTTGATGGATCCAACAACCTCAGGGTTCCTAAAGGCATTGACACTTTCACTGAGCAATCCAGCTGCTATGATGTCCAGATTGGTAACAGTGATAATTGGGGCACCTACTTCTACTATGGTGGTCCTGGTAGAAACCCCAATTGCCCGTGATTAGCTCCCTCTTGCATACATAAACAAACCATCATCCATTTGCGTATATAGTTGTAAAGACCTCCCTATATATGTATACATATATATATATATATATATATTAATGTAGTCTCGTTTTTGTCTTAGGTAACACCAGGATTCTCTTCTTGTTTTCTCCATTCCAAATATAAATCAGCTTCCCTGTTAGTTCAGGCTAGTAAGGTGTGATAGTCTACTGTTTTGCTACTGTATTTTGGAAATTTTAAGTTCCCTCGTGTTCCGTTTAAGGAGTTGTAGGCAGGTAGGTGTTATGCTTCTTTGTTAAGTTCAGAAGAGAAGGAGCCGCATCAGTATTTGTAGCTTAATTACTTTATCTGTATTCTTAATTGTCATTCTTATAGATGTCCAATAAAATGTCAATATGCTTGATTACATTCTTAATATAGGTGTCTGGAGATGTGTATATATACCCATTTGTTTCTTCTTCGTCTTTTACGGCAAACTTGCAATTCATGTAACATATTTGTAAATTAGCTACTGCCTTCATTTGATGGAAGGATTGTAAAACTAATACATTACTGAAAAAATTTATTGGGAAGAGGAATACATAGAAACAAACAGAAAATCACATTTTATTATTAGGAGCTAGAGCTCTTGTACTTAAGTAGATTTGAATCTGAAGAATTTCATGCCATCTTGTAGCTGCTGTTTGTACTTCAACCCACCCTGGCAAAAACACAAGACAGAAAGAAAAGGGTCAAATTGATATGGGAGTTGACACCAAATCACAGGACAAAAGCAAAGAGATAACATAGAAGAGACTGAAAATCGCACGTAGAGAAAGATGAATAGAGATACTGTTGAGAGAGAGAAAAGGAGAGATAAGTATATGTACTTGGAGCAATCGACATCGGGTGAAACAGAGACAGATAAGGTGATTCCACAATTTGCAGGAAGATCTTTGGCTAGCTGGGCATTCAGGTTTACCTTCTTGGCTTCTGCCTTAATGCATTCACAAGCAGCCTTCTTGTCAGCAGATGTTGTTGTTGCAGATGCAAGTGCAGATGCCCCGACACAACAAGCAGATGGTGGTTTGCCACTGCCTTTCACAAGATAGTTCAAGCATGGTCTGAGGTCTTTGATGACTACAGTACAAGAAATAGCTGCTTCTGAAGAAGATGAAAGTATGAGGAGGAGCATAAGCATGGCCATGGCTGGCATTTTTGTTCTTAAGGAGTTCATGGCGAGTCAGATGATAAACTAGTGGCTCGAGCTTCCCCTAGCTAAATCGGGTTATGACTTTATATTGAATTTGGAGGGAAGCTGATCAGTGCAAGATAGGTAACATAAACTATAAAAAATTGTGGTGTTGTTGGATGGTGATTGAGTGCAAGAATTAGAGGAAGTGGTTGGCTTTAGTTGATTTTCTTGTTTCTTGTTTGCAGCTGTGTGTGTTTATTGTTGTTTAGTGCTTGGCAGACGCATGAAGCTGTCAATATGAATAGTCTCCAAGCCTTCCAATTGCCAAGTCCTTTTAGTGCTACGTAGGATAACAACAAAAAAAAAAAAAAAAGGAAAGACTGCAGTATGCATCTGGTTAAATTGTAGATCCTATATGCATTGATATCTCAACAATCCATCCATTAAATTTAAATGACAATTAAATTTGGTTGGTAGGTTGAAACAATGACAAGTTTTTCATTTCTTATTTGTTGCAGTTGGTAGAGCTCTCGAGTTTGGTTCATGTGTAAGTTATAAAGTGCGTCTATGACCCGTTTAATAAAATTTCCTGAAGTAAATTTCAATGTTTTGAGAATGTCTTATCGTGCAAAATGCTTCGTTTGGTAATTCGCTTTAGATCTCCCCGTTGATCTTATCAAGTGTAGACATTTTTTACCTCAGAAAAAGCATAAACGTTTCCTTTCTTAGTCATGTATTTGTGTGGGAGACAAAATTTGTATGTTGATGGAGCTTATCGTGGATACTCATCATTTACTAGTTTGAGAGATGACAAGTATGGTGAGATCAAATGTGGCTGTTTGAGTTTGATTTCTATGGTGCTTTTATACAACTGTAGGCAAATGTTTGAGTTTCAGAATATGAACCAAAACATAATTCAGGGAGAATTTTATATATTGTTGTATAGTTTAGTAGATACTTTGGTATTATATGTATTATGATTTTTTTTTAAAAATGAAATAAAATCTTATATTTATCATTAATTATTTAAAACTATTAAGACTAAAATGTAATGCATTAATTATTTCAACGTAGAATGTCAAGAATAATTTTGTAACCAGCTGTCAAGAAACAACCAAGAGAATACCACATCACATAATCCTGTAGAATAAAACACCAGCGCCACAAAATCCTCAACCTGCAACATGCAACCTTCATAGGACAAGAAACAGCCCAGGAAATAACACAAAATCCTCAACCTGCACCTGCAACCTGCATAGGACAAAAACCTGCACAGCCTTGTAGCAAATAAAAATTTATTGTAAAAAATTTTCTTTTTGTTAACAGTTGTAGTTCCTTTATTGGAACACCTGTGAAGTCTTGATTGGTTGCAAAGTTTTGTAAATTAAAAATATTTCATCTCAGAAAAGTAAGTTGAGAATTGTCTAGCTATCTTCTTTTTATTTTTTTACTTGCTATCAGAGCTAGTCATGTCCAGCAGCAATAATGTAAGCTCTGCCATTGATGGAGACAAAACCTGTGCAGACAATACCACGGGAGGAGCAGCAGCAGTCAAGACCTTAAATATATCAGCAAACCCAATTGGTTTTTATTCCATGGTTAAGTTGAACCATGATAACTTTCTCTTATGGAAGAATATGGCGTTGCCTATGATAAGAGGAAACAAGCTAGAAGGCTACCTCACTAGAGCAAAGATCTGCCCACCAGAATTTAATGAAAAGACAGTACAAGACTCAGAAACTGTGCAAGTAACCTCAAATCCAGAATATGAAGATTGGTATGCTCAAGACCAAATTATTTTAGGCTGGTTATATAACACCATCGAACCCACTATAACCTCTGAGCTAATGGGGTATGACACTTCAAGAAAACTATGGAATGCAGTAAATGAGCTGTGTGGTGTAAAAACAAGATCCCAATGTGGTGTTCTACAAACGAGAATTTGCCAAAATGCAGAAAAAAAGTTTGAAAATGGAAGAGTATTTGAAAGCTATGAAAGGTCGTGCTGATAACTTGGCACTAGCTGGTCATCCTGTCTCTCTTGATGATTTAGTCACTTAAATTCTCACTGGTTTGGATTCACAGGAGTATAACCCCCTGGTATGCCACATTGCAGAAAAAGATGATATTAGCTGGGTCAAACTACAATCAAAACTTCTGAACTACGAAAGGAGACTTGAGCAACTGAATGTAGGCATAACTACAATCAATCTTGGCAACCCAGCAGCTCACTATGTGAAGAGTAACAATCCCAGCAACAAGAACCAGAATCAATACCACTCTGGAGGTAGATTTGGAAACAACTATAGAGGGGTAAGAACTTTTAGAGGAAGAGGCAATAAACATGGTGGAAATAATAGACCTTTGTGTCAAGTATGTGGCAAAATTGGACATGCTGCAGCAATTTACTTTTACAGGTTTGACAAGAATTATATGGGAGCATTACCAGATTCACATAACAAGAATCAACACCAACACTCTGTGTTCTTAGCGTCCAATGATAGCCTACCAGATCTGGCCTGGTACATGAACAGTAATGCAAGTAGCCATGTTACAAATGATGCTAACAACATACAGAACAAACAAGAATACCATGGTAAAGAAACTCTAACTGCAGCGAACGGTGAGAAACTTAACATTTGTCATATTGGATTAGTTAAATTACCTGTAGAAAAAACAAAATGCTTGATACTCAAAGAAACTCTACATGTTCCTGACATTGAAAAAAATTTGATTAGTGTATCAAAACTCACCACTTCAAATGATGTTGATGTTAAATTTAACTTTTTTGGTTGTTTTGTGAAGGACAAGGAACGGGCAAAACTCTGCTGCAAGGGAAACATAAGAAAGGATTGTATCAGATTGAATCAGTCCAGCAATCAAAAGTAAAACTCATACAACACTCTCACCAAGCCTTTGTTTTTAACTTGTCAAATAAGCCTGAAAATGTAAAGCAGATGAAAATGTGGCACAAGAGATTAGGACACCCCTCCTTTAGCACTCTAGTTAAGGTTCTTGAAATCTGTAATAAAAAACCTTCTATCAATGAAAGTGAGTTTTTCTGTGATGACTGTCAACTTGGCAAATCATCATCTCACTCTACTCAACCCCCTGAACTAATTCACACAGATATATGGGGGCCTTCTCCTGCTGTCTCAGCATGTGGATTCAAATATTATGTGTTATTTTTAGATGATTACAGTAGGTTTACCTGGTTATTTTCTTTAAAACAGAAATCAAATATAGCACGAGTTTTCCAAAATTTCAAAATACTAGTTGAGAACCAGTTTGATAAGAAAATCAAATGCATTCAGTCAGACATGGGAGGAGAGTATTTAGGACTTGCTAGTTTCCTACAAATGCATGGAATCAAAATTCAATATTCTTGTCCTCATACATCTCCTCAAAATGGAAGAGCTGAAAGAAAGCATAGATATGTAGTTGAAACAGGTCTCACTTTATTAGCACAATCTAAGGTTCCTCTAAAATATTGGCCTGAGGCTTTCCTTACAGCAATATTCTTAATTAATAGACTTCCCACACATGTGTTAGATAGCATGTGTCATCTGGAAAAACTTCAGAATAAGAAACCAAACTGTAAGTCCCTAAAAATCTTTGGTTGTGCTTGTTTTCCCTGCTTGAGACTCTATCAGGCACAAAAGTTTCAATATCACTCCACAAAGTGTGTTTTCCTTGGCTACAGTAGCTCTCACAAAGGATATAAGTTCTTTAATTCCACTGAAAAATTTTACATTTCAAGGAATGTTGTCTTCAATGAAAAAGACTTCTCATTTCATACCAACTTTCCAAACGCAAAAACACCAGAAATTCAAACCTTGGTTACAACACCCTATTGGCTCATCTCTACCACTAAGATATCTGAAATAAATCTAGCACCTAACACTTATTTATCTGATACAAATTCTCAAAATGTTTCTATTGCAGTAGAGCAAGTTCAGGAAGCTAAGTCCAGAATATTACAACTTGAGAATTATGAAATGAGGTTATCAGCTGAAAGAGGATTTGATCCCCAACAATCTGGCTTTGGTGAAGTACCAAGCTATGTAGATGATCAAGCAATAGAAGCTGAAACAAATGAGCCTAAAATGCATCAACGACCTATTGAAATACAACAGAAAGAAGGTTATGCTCATAGAATGACAACAAGGGCTAAGGCTAAAATTCACAAGCCTAAGCAGTTTCCTTCAGACTTTCAACTATATCTTGCAAAGTGTTCAGAACCAATGCCAACTGAACCTATCTCAATTAATGAGGCATTGAATTTTAAACACTGAAAATCAACTATGGAAGAAGAATTGAAAGCATTAAAGCTAAACAACACCTGGTCTCTAGTTCCATGCACCTCTTCAATGAATATTGTTGGCAGCAAATGGGTATTCAGAGTTAAGAAAAATATAGATTGCAGCTTCCAGAGATGCAAAGCAAGGTTAGTAGCAAAGGGGTTCCATCAGAATGCAGGAATTGATTATGGTGAGACCTTCAATCCTGTAGTTAAAGCCTCGACCATTAGAGTTATCTTTACTATTGTTGTAACAGAAAATTGGGTGGTCAGACAACTTGATATAAATAATGCTTTTCTCAATGGTGATCTACAAGAGGTAGCCTATATGCAGCAACCTGAGGGGTTTGAAGAAAAAGGAAATATCAACTATGTTTGCAAGCTTAACAAAGCCTTATATGGCTTAAAACAATCGCCTAGGGCTTGATTTGAGAAGCTCAGGAAAACCTTGTTAAATTGGGGCTTCAGGAACTCAAAATGCGATTCTTCACTCTTCATTTTGAAAAACAATGGTGAAATCATATTTGTGCTTATATATGTTGATGATTTGATCCTAACAGGTAACAATCCTACCTCACTTAAAAGGTTTGTGTAAGAACTGGACAAATTATTTGCCTTAAAGGACTTAGGCTCACTGGATCTTTTTCTCGGAATTGAGGTAACAAGGGATGATACAGGATTTTATCTGATGCAAACAAAGTATATTGAAGAATTGTTTAAGAGAGCAGATAGGGAAAACTCTAAACCATGCTCTACACCTGCTATTCTTAATGCTGCACAAACTACTCAGGAAGGAGAACCACTCAAAAACCCAACATCAAACAGAAAAATCATTGGTTCCTTGCAATATTTAACTCACACCGGGCCAGATATTGCCTTTATCACCAATAAACTAAGTAAATTTTTGCAACAGCCTACAACTAAGCACAGTAATGCAGTCAAGACAGTTTTAAGATATCTGAAGGGGTACCAAAGAATTTGGTCTTCATATACAGCCATGTAACAGCTTATTAAGAATAATTAATATATTTAAATTGTAACCGTTTTTATTCCTTTTTTTTTTCTTTCTTTTGTCCGTTGCCCACGTACCAGCACTGGTACGTTTTCCTGCATTATGTTTTCCTGCTTCTGTATGTTTTTCTGCATTTTTGTTTTCTTCTGTTATGGTGCCCCTGTGCCCTGCATTCTGTTTCATTTTTGTTTCTTCTGTTATGGTGCCATTACTGATGGCTATATATATTATGTAAGCTGCAAACATATGTAGGCAATAAAAATATTTCTTAAGTTCATTTTGCTCTGCCTCCTTTCTGTCAATTTTTCTATTATGGTATCAGAGCCATAAAACCTTCAACCAACATTTTTTCTGCTCAGTAGTTGAGCTACAAAACACTTGATCTCCAATGGCTAGAGATCAGTCTGATGACCTCCAAAATCCATTCTTCCTTCACAGTGCTGACCACCCCTGTTTAGTTTTGGTATCCAATCTTCTCAACTAGAACAACTACAACACACGGGAGAGAGCAATCAGAATAGCACTAACGGCTAAAAATAAGTTGAGATTCATAGACGGAACCCATGACCAACCAAGCAGCACCGACCCCCACGCCACAGCTTGGTTACGTTGTAATAGTATGGTGGTTTCTTGGTTGCTGAATGCTGTCATCAAGGAGATAGCTGACAGCTTGTTATATCATGAAAGTGCACAATCCATCTGGACTGATTTACAGCTCCGTTATCAGCAGAGTAATGCACCCCGTATTTATCAATTCAAGCAGAGCATGAACAAGTTTACTCAAGGATCACTCAGCATCAACACATACTACACACGAATGAAAACAATCTGGGATGAACTCAAAACCTTCCAACCAGCTCTAAGCTGTCACTGCGGAAACATGAAGGCGTGGAACGATTATCAGGAACAAGAGTTTATAATGACTTTCTTAATGGGATTAAATCCTTCCTATGCTACTGTTAGAGCCCAAATTTTGATGATGGAATGCTCTCCATCCATTTTGAAAGTCTTCTCGCTAGTGGTGCAGGAGGAACAACACCGTGCAATCGGGCTCGACTCACATGCAGAAACAGGTCACGGTTCCGCACCCTCTGTTCCCCTAACTCAAGGAAGAAGGAGACCCATCTGTTCACACTGTGGGCTTGTGGGCCACACTGTGGACAGATGTTATCGCTACATGGATACCCACCGGGCCTCAAGCCCAAGCCCAAAACACGT